GTCACTCTTTCTCCCTCACCCCCCCCTCCTCTAGGCAACCACTAACCCGTTTTCTGTCTCTATAGACATTTCATATAAATGGAATCATGGCTATGTCTGCCTTCTTTCGCTCGGCATGCTTTTTCAAGGTTTGTCCATGTTACAGCATGCATCAGTATTTTATTCCTTCTTATGGCTGAATGCTTCGTTGCGTAGATATACCACATTTTGTTTATACGGTCATCAGTTAGTGGACATTTGCTTTTTGGCTATTATGGCTAATGCTTCAACAAATACTCATGTACAAGTTTTTGTGTGGACATGTTTTCACTTCTCTTGAGTATATATCTAAGAGTGGGATTGCTGGGTCATATGGCAAACTTTTGAGGAATGCCAGACTATTTTCTAAGGTGCCTGCACTGTTTTTACATTCCTACCAGCAGTATATGAGGCTTTGAATTTCTCCACATACTTACCGCTTTTTATTATGTGTCTTTTTAACTATCACAGTGGATGCAATGTGGGATCAGACTGTGGTTTCTATTTGCATTTCTGTTGAGTGATGTTGAGTATCTTTTCATGTTTATGAATGGCTTACTGGCCATTTGTATATCTTTGGAGAAATATTCAGGTCCTTTGTCCATTTTAAAATTAGATTATTTGCTCTCTGAATTGTAGGAAATCTATGTATACAAATACCTTATCAGATACATGGTTTGCAAATATTTTCTCCCAGTCTGTGGGTTTTTTCTTTAAAAAAAATTTTTTTTAAATATTTATTTTTGAGAGAGAGAGGCAGAGCAGAAGTGGAGAAGGGGGCAGAGAGAAAGGGAGACAGAGAATCCGAAGCAGACTCCAGACTCTGAGCTGTCAGCACAGAGCTGGATGTGGGGCTCAAACTCATGAACTGTGAGATCATGACCTGAACCGAAGTCAGACACTTAACTGACTGAGCCACTCAGGTGCCCCTAGTTTTTCTAGTTTTGAGTTAAAAGAAAAAAAAAAAAATAGGTTTGCTCCACTTGAATTGCTATTCTTCCCCTTTTAGTACAGTTTAGAAACTAGTATGTTGTTATTTTATTCCAAGATGTTTCTCTTATGAGGCCTGAATTCAAATTTTATTTCTGCTAGCTACCTAGCTCTACGGTAGTAACTTGGACGAGTCATTTCATTACTCTCAGTTTTCATACTTGTAAGACGAGGATAAATAGTACCTACTTTATAAGGTTATGCATGAAAATGACAGCATGTATAAGTACTTAGCATAATGCCCAGACTCCCACAAAATGGGATTTGAAGACTTTAAAAGATCTTTGAAAAGCACTTTTATTTCAAGATATGTGTGAAATATTAAGTACTGTATTACTTCATGATGATTACTGAATAAAGAATAAGGTGCTTTGTGCAAGATCAATTTATATCAAATCATGTCATAATTTAGTAATCCTGACTGTGTCAGTTTTACCATTCTGCAAATCTGAGGCTTTAGAAAGTAAGCTGGTATGTGAAGGATACTATGTTAAGTGATGTTTTCCAAATTTGTTTTCAAGTCCCATAATGGTCTTACAAGAAAATACCGAGTCATAATGTAGTAAGACAGTAAGTTCAACCAGTAAGATACATTGGAGATTGGTTACTTTACATGAGTCAGTAAAGGGTTAAATGTGGTTCCTAAAGACACCTGTGCATGCTTATTTCTTCTTAAAGAGTCACTGTGGCAACCACTCATTCTCCTCAAAGTTTAATTTTTTAAAATGTTTATTTATTTTTGAGACACAGAGCGTAAGTGGGGGAGGGGCAGAGAGAGGGGGAGACACAGAATCTGAAACAGGCTCCAGGCTCCGAGCTGTCCGCACAGAGCCCAACGCAGGGCTCGAACCCATGAACAGCGAGATCGTGACCTGAAGTCGGACACTTAACTGACTGAGCCACCCAGGCGCCCCTTCTCATTCTCCTCAAGGTTTAAAAAACAAACATGCTTTTCAGAATTTTCATGGATTAAATCTCTGAATCTGAAAAACAATGACGCATTGGACCTGAAGTGAATATTCTGTCTGTATTAAGTTGCATGCACCTGCGCACACACACAAAAGCCATGCTTTAAGACATCCACAAATATTCCTCCTCTTCCTCCACACCCACCGTACCTCCAGGTCTGTCCCAATGTTCACACTCACTGTCTTGGTGATGGGACCCAGGCTTTAAATACCACCTTTCAGCTAATGACTGCCAAATGCATGCCAGCAGCTCAGACTTGTCTCCACACTTGATTATTCAATTGCCTCCTAGACACTTCCCTCAAATGCTTAGCAGACATACCCGACACGTCCAAAATTGAACTCCTGAGCTTCTGCTACAAACCTGCTCCTCTACAGTCTTCTCATTTCAGTTCATGGCATTTCCACTCTCCGGTTGCTTATGTTTACCTTGGAGTCATTCTGGACTCCTTCCATTTCTTCCACGGATCCCATCTGCTCTGTTGGGAAATCCTACTGGCTTTACCTTCAGAATCTATCTAGGATCCTCTAATCTCTCCGAATCTCAACTGCTATCATCCCTAGTCCAAGCTTCCAGTGTCCTTGGCCTGGGTTACTACAATTAGACTCCAAAGTGACCTCCCCCTTCCAGTCTTGCTTCCCTTGGTCTAAGCAAATGGATTTTTTTTTTTTTTTTAAGAGACAGTGAGAGCGAGCATGCACACGCTCAGAGAAGGGGCAGAGAGAGAGGGAGAATCCCAAGCAGACTCCGTGCTGTCAGCACAAAGCCTGACGTGGGCTTGAACTCACAAACCGTGAGATCATGACCTGAGCTGAAGTTGGACGACCAACCGACTGAGCCACCCAGATGCCCCTGTGGCTTTTAGGCTTGGAAAGGCTTGACGATGAGACTTAACTAGTTCTTGAAGAACAGAGTATGAAGAAGAAAGGAAGGGCTTTCTAAGCAAGAGAAAGAGCTATGGGTGAAGGCAGAAGTTTGACTGCAGTGGGGGAATTAATGTAATACTAAAAATAGGCTGTGAGTTGCGTGGTATATGGCTTAATATGGTTGGTGCAAGTCGCTGACACGAGAACATAACATCTAAAGCATTGTTTCAGGAAAATTTGGTAGCTGTTTATAAATGGAGACAAGTTGAGAAAAAATGTAAAACTGGGAAATCATTCATGAAGCCGTTATATAATAATTCCAGTTTGAGGAAATGCAAAGGGAACCGACAAAGTTTCGGGAGGGAGGAATCTGAGGCACCAACCCATTCAGAAATGCCTGGCTTGAAAGTGAAAATGAGAAATGAACTTTATTTAGGTCAGGCCCACTTATATAAATCTGGGTGTTATTTATTGAATCCTTCAGCGTGTGTGGGGGAAACTACAAGAGGAAAAAAAAAATGCTAAGAATAGAGACTATCCAAAGGCTCTGAATGGGACAAAGGGGGACAGCCTATTATTACCGTGACAATAAAATGTCACATAAAACCTTATCGAATAAAACCTTATAGCATAAAACCTTAATCGAATACCTGAGGCATACAGGTATTATGATTAACTGAGGTTAACTGTGGTTAATTGAAGGCTAATGAGATTTTTCTGGTCTTAATTTTTGCTTGCCGAGTTTTTTTCCCCTCTAAAAAGTATCATGTCTTATTCCCCCTCAAAAACTAGGGAACACAGCTGAATTATTTTTAGAGGATTCAGGATGTCCCCATCCCTCAAGGTGATCATCATAAATACATATTTTTAATACAAAATCACAGTTACAGGAAATTGGGATAAATCCACGGTGACCACAGTGCTTATCCTGGTATTTTAAAAGACTCTTGACATTTATTTGCCTTTCAGAGAAAGGCAGATAATATCAAAACAATTACAACCCAAACTTTCAGCTATTTTAGGGGTCTCTTATTAAACAAGCAGGATTTTGCTCCAGTGTTTTTTTTGTTTTTTTTTTTTTGTTTTTTTGCCAACACGTACGAAGGACACAGGATGTTAGTGTCAAATGCATTATTACATCATGGCAGTTTCCACTGCCATCGCCTTGCGTTGTAACAGATGCTTGCGATTTAGGCTCTTTTACTGCAGAACGTCCCTTCATGCACTAATTTTGCGACCCTCCAGTTCTGACTTGAATTTAAAGAAACACTTCATTCTTGGTGTACCAAATGTTGGCTTCCGACCCCCCGGAATTCTCCCGGGAAGTTTCTGCCGCTTTAGAAACTTTCATATTCCAGCGCAACATGCCAAGAAACGCAGGTATAAGGCAGCGACCGTGGAAGGCTCCCCACGTGTGCCTGCCCTCCCACATCCGGGCCTCGCACGGTGTGTGCACACAACCACGCCGAGGTCACAATCTCGCAGATCCCACTTGAGCCTTTTTTGTTTTCCTTTTTAATCAATGGTCTCTAACTTTCTTAAAAGCTATCAAGTCAAGTGGCTCCGGCTTCGATTCGGTCCCTGGCTCGGGAAGCCCCTGCCCGGCCCGGCCCTCCCCTCCCCCTGTTCTCTAAACACCCGCTGAAGACAAACTCCAGAAACAGAAGTGTCTACACAACCTCTTCTCCTTAAAATTAGCCAGTGCTCTCCACAGGCAGGTACCCAGATACCGGCCTTGCAAATACACCCGCGGCGCGTACGCCCGCCCAGGGCGCTCTCCCCCTGCCCGCCTAAAGGAAGGTGGGGAAGCGAGAAACCGAGCCACCGCAGTACCTTCTCGGAAACTAACTCCGGGAGGTGCACAGGGGCGTCCCGGGGGCCGTGCGGGGAGCCGAGGGCAGGCCCTGGCGGAAGGGCCCCCCCAGCCTCGGGGCGTCCCCGCAACCCCCCCCCCCCCCCGGCCAGAGAGTCGGGGCTCCCGCGCCTTGCTCCCGGCACCCCACGCGCGGAGCCCGCCTGGGGCGGCGGCCGCGGCGGCTCCCTCCCTCCGCTCCCCCGGGCCCCGGGTCCCCTCAGGGCATGGCCGGAGGCGGCTGAGGAGGTCGCCCCAGTTCACCTCGGCGCTCCGGCCGCAGCCCCGCCGCGGCATCGGCTTACCGGCTCAGCCCCGGGGGGAGGCGGAGGGGGCGGCGGAGGCGGCGGCACGGCTAGCACGACCTCCAGTCCTAGCCTCCCTCACCTGCGCGACAGCGGAACTGGCCGGGGGCCTCGCCCGGGGGAGGGGCCTCCGGACGCCCTGGCGCGCCGAGCGCGCCAGGTGAGCACGCCTGCGCAGTCCGGCCGTAAACAAGCCCGCCCCTGCCCCTCGGCCGGCCTCCGCGGGGCCGGCTCGCGGGTGGGAGGGGCCAGGAGGAAGAGGCGGGGGAGGGGGGGTAAAGAGCGAGAGCCCAGCACGGCGCCTGCGCGGTGGGCGTGATCCGGGCACTTAGGGCAGGATGAACGCTGCTTTCCAAGATGGCGACGGAGGGAGGAGGGAAGGAGATGAACGAGATTAAGACCCAATTCACCACTCGGGAAGGTCTGTACAAGCTGCTGCCGCACTCGGAGTACAGCCGGCCCAACCGGGTGCCCTTCAACTCGCAGGGATCCAACCCCGTCCGCGTCTCCTTCGTAAACCTCAACGACCAGTCTGGCAACGGCGACCGCCTCTGCTTCAATGTGGGCCGGGAGCTCTACTTCTATATCTACAAGGGGGTCCGCAAGGTACCGACCCAGGCGTCACCGGGGCCCGCCAGGGGCGTGGGCGGAGGCCAGGAGCAGGGCGGTGACAGCGGGGCCCAGGGTGACCGATAGGGGTGGCGGTCGCTCTTACTTTTGAGTGGGCCGGTAACTCCACTGGGGTGCTCCTGAGGAAGGGGGATTCACGAATAAGGAAGGTGGTGTTTCAGAGGGGTGGGGGCGGCGGAAAGGGGCCGTGGGGCACGGGGTTCCGCCTGGGAGGCCCCAGAAGGGGACAGTTGCTTTCTCTCTGGCAGGGTCCGTCAGGCTCTGACACTGCCAGGGAGCGGGCCTGCGAGTCCCCGGAAGAGGTGGGGTGGCCGTCTTGTCTGCTTAGGCTGCCTCGCCTCCCGGGAGTTGTGTGTGTCGCTCTGGGCTAGAGAATGGGGGCGCGGGGCGGCTGGGGAAGGTCTGGAAGGCGGAATCCGGGCGGCAGCGGAGGGCTTGAGACTAGGTCGGAAAGGACCTGCTCGGCACTAAGGGCTACTCCACCTGCTACCGACCGCACTGACACTTCCTAGGAGCCTCTGCTGGTGTTAAGACTCTTTCCGAAAACATCAGAAGGAGGACGGCTGTCACTTTCTCCGCCGGGGCGCCTTCTCCCGAGAGATTGTTAAAGAGGGTCATCTTGGCCCTTATGGTATGGGAAGGACTGAGTACTACAGTTGGGAGGTCGAAATGATGTTTTCATGAACCAGGCTGGTTCATGGGTGTTCTGTGTGAGCGTGCCCAGATTGTTCTTGTCCAGCAAGTCAGACTATGTCCCAAAGAGGGAGGGATATGCCTTAAAAGCTACTCTACAAGAATCACTTTTTTTCTTGACGGGTGACTTCACATTAATTTTGTGAAGCATGTAATCATCCTTTAAAAAGATCTCTTCAAAAGGAGCAACTTTATTAGAGCCTTTCCTTTATTGGCTGTGTTCTCACTGAGAACTGCTTACCTTTGAGATTTGTGGTCTTTGACTTGACTTTTGGGAGAATAAGGACACTGATGCGTCCCACAGCACGTAGGCATGGATAAAGGTGATAACAGATTAATTTTTAAGTGTTTGGTTAGTGTGAAAGCAAATCGTACACACTGAAGAGTGGACGTTCTCTAAGATGTAATGTATCCAGAAGCAGTAAGTTTGCTTGGTTTCTCAAGACCTAAGGAGGGTGGTGTCCTGTTGTAGCAAGTTTTCTCATTTGGCCAGGGTGCATCTTTTCGGTTAGCGTTTGTGATGGGTTCTACTGTGTTTGAGGTTTGGTATTACTGCAGGTAAATCGCTTGACTTCATTTTTTCTCTTTTGGAATTGAGAAAGCGTCAAGTAGTTAGTAGTCTAGGAGCTAAACTTTTAGGCTTGCTCTCAACTTTTTTGCTGACTTGTTGGGTGACCTTGGATGAGTTCTTTAACTTCTGTCCGCACCTCTTTAAAAAGAGAACATGGCAGTACTCACATTGTAATTTATACTATAACTGTAATGAACTTTAAAGCCTGAAACCCTCAGCAGGTGTAAAATATAGTTAAAATAAGCATTACGAGTAATGTCACGGGCACCTGGGTGGCTCAGTTGGTTGAGTGTCTGGCTTGAGCTCAGGTCATGATCTCATGGTTCATGAGTTTGAGCCGCACGTCGGGCCAGAGCCTGCTTGGAATTCTCTCTCTTCCTCTCTGGCCTGCCCCTGTGTGCTCGCGCGCGCGCTCTCTCTCTCTCTCTGTCTGTCTCTCTCTCTCTCTCTGAGTAAATAAATAATAAGTGTTTTTGGTTTTGTTTTGTTTTTTTTTAAAGTAACTGTCAAATGGGAAGCTGCTATCTTGACATTGATACTAGGACTGAAAGGATCAACTTTTTCTGTGGAAATAAGTTTAGAATTTTAAGTTACTAAAATTCATGTAAAATTTAAAAAATGCTTAACCGCTGAATTTACCAGCAATTACTAGTGTCAATGTTACCTTTTTTTTTTTTCTTTTTCTTTTTCTTTGAAGTGTATTATTTCTGAAGCATTCTGGTGGCAAACCTTATCTGGATCTGGTGGCTGTGGTTTGCATCATCAGAACAGCTCTCTTGCTTGAAAGTATCATAGTTGTGTTCTCTTAGCTGGATGCTATTCGATGAAGGTTAAAACTAGGAGAGCTTTCCAAGGTGTAATTTTTAAAAAAATGTTTTTTATGTTTATTTATTTTTGGGAGAGAGAGAGAGACAGAGCATGAGCAGGGGAGGAGCAGAGAGAGAGGGAGACACAGAATCTGAAACAGGCTCCAGGCTCTGAGCTGTCAGCACAGAGCCTGACATGGGGCTTGAACTCACCATGAGATCATGACCTGAGCTGAAGTCGGACACTTCACCAACTGAACCACCCGGGTGCCCCAAGGTTTAATTTTTTTTTTTAATGTTTGTTTATTTTTGATAGAGCATGCAAATGGAGGAGGGACAGAGAGGGAGACACAGAATCTGAAGCAGGCTGTAGGCTCCAAGCTGTCAGCACAGAGCCGACACGGGGCTCGAACTCACAAACCACCAGATCATGACCTGAGCTGAAGTTAGACCCTTAACCAACTAAGCCACCCGGGCGCCCCTAGGAGAGCTTTTCAAAACCACACCCCAAAATTATTTTAAATAAGACAAATCTTAAACATGTAGATTTGCCTCTAGCTGCATAATTTATGTGAGCTCTATGACTTTTTGTGAAATTTAATTTTCATGCAGTAACATAGCATTATATGGTGGACATTTCGATTCTCTTCTAGTCATCATGATTTTCTAAAACTGTTTTCCATGAATGCGTTTGCATTTACTTACTGTTATTTCTGAGTGTGTGATTGTTTTTGAGATTGTCTTTTCTGATTTTTTAAATTAAAAAATTTTTTTTTATATTGAGAGAGCATGCGGTGCATGTGCAAGGGGGGGCGGGGAGAGAGAGAGAGAGAGAGAGAGAGAGAGAGAGAATATCTTAAGCAGACTCCATGCTTGGTCCCTTGAGGGACTTGTTCCCACAACTCTGGAATCACGACCTGAACAGAAATCAAGAGTCAGATGCTCAACCGACTGAGCCACCCAGGCATCCCTGTCTTTTCTGATTTTAAAATAGAGCAGATAATTTCCTAGTCAGATAGGAGTTATAACTCTGTTCTTACAGTTGGTCATTTTGACTGTTTTTATTCATTTTTTTAAATTGGGGCGTACAAAGTTTTACAACAATTAGTCGGATCATTCGGAAGGTCTAATTTGGAAACATACATTCGGCTTAAATCTGCATGTGAAATAAGTGAAAAATAGATCTTTGAATACTTAAATCACGAGCTGTGTGCTGCCATTCCTAAAAGGAAGTATGGAGTTGTGGGGGAATGGAGTGGATGACGAGGTCATCTCAAATCTGAACTGAGGAGTGTATTCTTGGCCCTTTAAATAGATTTACAGGTCAGTTTGTAGAGCTAAACGGGACCTTCAGCTTTTGCAGTCTCACCCTCTCTGAGGAAGCCAAGGCTAGAGAGGGAGTGCAAACCTGTGTTACAGTTTTGTTTTTTTTCTTTCTCATGGTCAGGAAGATGAAGCATAGCTGAATCTAAAGAACTGTCGTAGTGAGAAGGGACCGATCAAGCTTTTTGATGCCATGGCCTCCGAGCACTGCAAGATCTACCCCAGCATTTTGCCATGTATTATCTCTTCGAATCTTGATAGCAATCCCGTGAGGTACAAGAAAGCGTCTTCTTTTTGCAGTTGAAGTTTGCAGTGGAGTTCTTGTGTACGGAGACGTAGTTTTGTGAAGTTATTTTGCTTAACTGAAGATAATATGAGCACTGATTTAATCCTGACGCTAATCATCTCAGCAAAGATTTGAGGGACTACTGTGATGATAATTATTCTAGATGGGGGGATCTGCAGTAGAGCAAGACCCTGCCCCTCTCCAAAGAATTGTCAACTACTGGCCTTTACACCTTTTTATTGAGTGCTGGCCTTCCCTTTTTTTCTTTTCTTTTTTTTTAAGAGATGGTTTTATAAAGATGCCGAAGGTAGCTGGGCTTATTGGACCAACCCTTTCATTTTATGAGATCCAATTTTACATAAATATGAATGGCAACCATTCAGATCTCAGTTTAGACATCACTTCCATAGCATATCCTGCTTTGAATTCCCAGGCTGGATCAGTTTTCCTTATTACATGTTCTCATAACATCCTGAACTTTGCCTTTCTAGCACTTTTCTCAATTTGTAATTCTCTGGGTTATAATCTGTCTCTCTATAAACAAAGCTCTCTCAGAAGAGAGATCTTGTCTTTTCTGCTTTCACTGTTTTCCTAGTGCCCAGCACGGTGTCCACCATAAAGTAGGCTCTAACTATTTATTTGTTGAGTGAATGACTGAATAAAATATCTATGTCCATCTGTGCCATACTTTAAAAAAGATTTTTACAAGCTAAAAAGCCTATTTAATTTTGGGCTCCCAAATGGGTATTTTTAGTGGCTGACATCTTTTTTTTTTCTTTTTTTTTTTTTAAGCTTATGTATTTATTTTGAGAGAGAGAGAATGAGCAAGGAAGGTACAGAGAGAGACAGAGAGGGTGGGGGGGGGGCGCTGGAGGAGGGGGAATCCCCAGTAGGCTCCACACTCA